TTACTGTCTATCATTCTCTAAATGTATTTTTACTGTCTAAATATATGTATTCAGCTAGTGTAAACATGCACGATGCTAAAAAAAATGCTTAACAAAAACAAAACATTTAGGTGTAATTTTGGTGGGCCGGGAACCAATTAATTGGTTTTCCATTATTTCTTATTCCATCACAACTCAAACTTTTTAGGATTTGATCCAGAGTTCTGAACGGATTAAATTCGAGTTCTGAGGTACCACTGTAGTTAACGCTGGTACATGTATACTGTGGCGAGCTTTCAGGCCATTATCAAAAAAAAGGGTGATGTCGCTTTAAGACAGAGAGAAGGCTCTTTTAGAACAAAAGTTCTGCCATTACAAACAGCTAGCTGTCACCACAAACTAGCAGTGGCACAGACATGGGAGTCAATTTATGAGACACTCAAACCTGTATTTTGTGCATGAATATGAGTGCTTGACACTTAGCGCCCCATGCAAGACCAGCAAGAATTTCATTGTATGGCATTGTAATGTGAAAATGAAACTTAAGAGCATTCTGACCATCATATGATCTTGGAGAATTTATAGTAAATTAATTTGTGTGCACAAGATAATTAACTTGGCATTTATAAATAATTTGTGTGTAAAATGTGTTTTTATTAAAAACACTGGCAGTTGTCATCATTGCAAAACGGATGCAGTAGAATCAGTGTCGTAACCCAAGTAGAGGAGCCCAAACATGTTTCCCTGGACGCGGGGCGGTCCTTGGAAAAAATGTTTGAGAACCTCTGGTCTAGAGCATGGCCCCAGAATCACCACTTGAAACTATATTTATTCAAACTTAGGCAGTGTTAAGATATTTCAAAAATACTCCAAAGCAGCCACTCTCTGTTTTATGAGTATGAGTATGAACACATGGAAACACTGCAACATTTTTCTTCACCAAATCCACAATTTAGTATTTCCCCAAGGCTTATAGCTTTAGGGGGGTGGGGGGGCAGATGGACACCGACAGAATTCATGGTGTTCATGGGTTTCTTTTAATGACAACAGTCAATATAACAACTGAACTAAACATCAGAACATTTCTTTTTATGACAAAGTGTGCAGCTTTTGCCACTGCAGTGTATCTTTCTGGGCTCTTCTGAGAGCGAGTGTTGCCATCTTCACCAGCCTGGGAGCGTTTAAAAAAAATACAGATATTTTGGTCTGCATTTCAGATGGTTGACATCGACATATTTTCCGACACATGCTCTCTGTCTGCTGGTGGGAGTGTGCTCACCTGTATGTGCACGGCTGTGAGCACGCATCGGGGCGGAACTCTGCCATGCACGATACAGAGCGCAGAGGAGAATTGTAAACGCACGACCGTATAGAGACAAAAATGACAAGCTGTTGTGTAAATAAGATAAATAACAGGAGGCTATTTAGTTTGTTTAATAAAAGGACAATGTATACATCTGTTCCATAGGAAAGGTAACCTTAAATGACTTCTGTTGTGATCTGGCGCTATACAGAAAATAAAATAAAATTAAATTAAATTAAATTAACTTGACCTTCAAGGGGGGGGTGGGAGGTGCCGTTGGGGGGGCTAATATAATGGTAGGGGAAACACTACAATGGATCTAGCATGTGGAATGCTCTGGAGCACAGAATCATTAAACACCTAACTACTAGGGATGGCACGGTTCATGAAAAAAAAACGAATCGTTCGGTTCGCTTGTCTCGGTTCGGAGCATGCATGCATCGCACGGTTCGACGGTTCATGACATGCGCAATGTAGCCTCGTGCCCCGTATGTGACGTCAGTGTGTTTCCCTTTCACACGAAAGAATAGGCTATATGCACAGAGAGGTGTGACGTAGTTCCGGTAAAAGTTCAGCCAGCTAAGTAATTTCCGGTAGCCTTTCGTTTGCTGCGTTTAGCTCGTGTTTTCGGCGTTACCACCCTGTCTCTGAAGAAAACGTTTAAATTTCAGCCAACCGATAGCACAACATCTGAACACTGTTGTGCGCCTTTGTTGTGTGACTTTATTTAATGTGCGGTTAGGCACTTTGTTAAAGAAAATTAAGTTATCTGTGACAAAGCACTCCAGTGAGTGTCATGCCTCGATCGTCCGCTCTTTCCGTGTGCCGCGCCCCCTCGTTAACCCTGTGTGGATTCCCCGTGTTTACCAGCTGTTCCTGATTGTTGTCAAATTTGTCATTACTCCATTGTATTTAGTCCGCGTTTCCGTTTCTTTCTCCAGTCCGGTCATTATATTGTAATTCTGCTTTACCGCTCGTCTGTGTTCCTTTTGCTCATTAAACCCCGCATTCCCCCGATCCTAGGTCTCCTCGCCTCTGCTTCCCCGGTCAGCGTTGTAACAGTGAGCCTGCTTCCATGCTGCAATGTGAACATTTGCCATGTTTCTAAAAATTCTGTTTATTGCACAGTGTCTGACCACACAGACCTACAAGCTATTGCCAGATGATCATACTAGACATATCAACTGGACATATTTTGCACTATTACAGATTGATGTCTTGTACAGTACATACACAGAAACTGATTTTATCGATTACTCAAGAACATTCAATATAATTAATACCAATTTTTTTTCACAATTTTTTTAAACATTATATGCGTCTCTTTTTGTATGTTTTCTAAATAAGACCGCGTGCCCATACCCAACTGTAATAGCGATTAAAGCGATCTATTCTTTTAGCATTTATGTTAAGGCAAGACTTTTATTTTATTACTGTTCTGGGATTAATAATGTTTAATAATTTTAATAATGTGCTTTAAGTCAAGTCAAATTCAGTTTATGCATGATTACATGATATAACTTTTTTAATACTGTATCCTAAATTGTGGATAATTAAGCTATATATCATATGCTGAAGTACATTTCTGGAGTGTTAAAGATTAAAAAAAAAAAAAAAAAACAAGAACCGTACAGAACCGAAAACTGTGACCCTAAAACCGTGATACAAACCGAACCGTGGGTTTTGTGAACCGTGCCACCCCTACTAACTACTAGGGGCGTAGTGGTATTTGGTATATTATCACAGCATTCAGTACAGCCCCGGTGGTTCAAAACACACAAATAAGCCACGGTATTACAATATGCCCGTCATATGCACCTTTGACAAAATATAAATCTAAAAAACTGGGGCGGTGTTCTTTTCGAGGGCTAGAATTTATATGTCATTATACAACAACAGATGGCATAAATTATCCGCCTCCTAGCTAAAGGTAGCGACATACTTCAAATGTAAACGATGTTCTTTGAGCAATATGACATTGTACAAGCGATGATCCCACCCATTGTCGACAAATGGCTAACAATGTGACAGCATGGAGTTGGGTAGTGCTTATCTTTAAAAGGTGTAAATTAATACATGTAATCATGTATATTTATGTTAATAGTTACTGTGTAATGTTTGCCATGGAATGCGTGCATTTTGTTACCGTTTAACAGTGAGTGTCATGTAAACTCCCAGGTTCCTTGTGTGTGTCTGCTAGTATTAAACCGAAACTGGTTGTTAGTAAAGAGTATTTCATTTTAAAAGAGCTATCATCTTCTTTATTAAAATTATTCGACGACTTGCCACAATCCATTCTTTTGCCCCCTTTATGTGGGTCTGCTGCGTCAAAAATATTCTGCGCTCTGTTGGGTTGTGGAGTTTGTAATATTGAGCATCTATCTACACTTACTGTGCTGCGATTGCCTGTGTTTGCTTTTTAACAGTGATATGCTTAACTTTGTACATCCATCCATTATCGCTTAATCCCAACCGGGGTCCTGGGGGGGCCCGGAGCCTATCCTGGGAACAACGGGCACAGGCAGGACCCAACCCTGGGCAGGGGCCAACACACCACTGGGCGCACACACACACAATTACGGGGCTGACTTAGATTCGCCAATTAACCTACCGCACACACTTTTGGACTGTGAGAGGAAACCAAATCCCCCCGACGGAAACCCACGCGAACACTGGTAGAGCATTCAAACTCCACATATAAATGTCCTACGCCTGGTCCTACAATTGCGAACTTCACAGCTATGATGCAGTTGCTGGGTGCAAAGCTGTTTCACCATAATCACTACATGCCTTTAGTGTTTCATTACTTAAATAAATAATTATTTAAAAAAAACCTGGACATTTCACATTTGACCCACAATAACTGTGTAATACAAGATGTACTGTAATAAAAAGTGATAAGTCATCAATGCGAGTTGATAAATTTAATGAATGGGAAAAAATTAATACACATTTTAGAAAAATATTTCAGCATGATGCCCTGTAAGGGACTGACGTGCCTCCCAGGGTATACCCCGGCACTGTGCCATTTGCTGGCTCGACAGGCTGCAGGCCCCAAGACCCTGACCAAAATAAACAATTATCCTTTGTAATTGCTGAAAAATATGGCACAGTGGCAACTTATTTCATTAAGCTAATAATGGCCCTAACTTAAATAACTAACAAATATCACACTCCATGGACAGAAAAAGTATATATATTACACAAACACGTGAATTGTTTCTCTCTCTCTCTCTCTCTCACACACACACACACACACACACTTCACCCCCCCATAATTAGTAATATACAAGTTTTAAGTTCCATTAATTACTTTTCAAAACCTTACACGTGCTCATCAAAGATGATTCTTAAAAACGTAAAATAAGTGTTTCATCGTTTTTTCTGGTTCAATTTAACAATTCCAGTGAGATTCAACTAAAGATACGTCGCAACCCTGTCCCTTGAGTTCTAAATCTTTGGTCAGTTATTGCTTTCAAAACATACAAATCTTCGGAATCAAGGTATAAATGTTCTTATTGCAAATCATTCCACAGTATGCCATAACAGCATTTCTTACAGCATTAATAATGCAGACTGCATTTCTGGCAAATGAAATATGCAGCACTTTCTTAAAAACCTAAATGTAAAAATGTTGACAGCAGACACGTTACACACAATTAGGTATAACCCAGGAGTAAGCGCTTTGACGACAAGCGGCCGTGCCTTCAAATATTACCTTCCTCAGTTGCGTCCCGTTTTGCGACTGACTCTGCTGGAGCGCCACTTGCTTGGCGACGTTTTGTAGCTGCTGGGACGCGTTCTGCATGATAGCCAACTGCTGTTGCCGCTGCGGCTGAACTGTCACATTAGTCTGGCTTTCGGCCGTGAAGAGAGACGCGGGCTCGATCGCAAAATAAGCGGTAGTCTGCTCGGCCGTGGCCGGCGCCGCTGGTTTCCTGCACTGGGTGGCCGACGGCACGATGTGCTGCTCGACGTGCATGGCAGATTTCTGTGATCTGCTAACTTGTTGTATCACTTGTTGCAGCTCTTTTGGGGCCAAACGTCCGCAGTGGGCGAGCCGAGCAGGGGGGCGTTCAGATACACAAGGAGTCTCGCTCTCTGTTATCGCACAAAACGGCTGCTTCTCCAATTGCTCCACCAGTTGTTGCTGCTCCTCTGCAGTTAACCCGGTGCCTTCTACAAAACTGCCGTCCGGCTGCACATAAATAATTGTGGTTGTTTCTGGCAATACAGTGTTTACAATCTCACTGGACATGGCAGTATAATTAGTTGTACCAGTACCAGGGGTTTCAACAAATGATGTTGCGATGTTACGATTTAGTAACTGCTTGACGTCGGTATATTGGTTAATAACTTGGTAGTCACTTTCCAGGTCCGTCCCCTCATGGGCAGAAGTCTGCAAGTACTCCAAAATGTCCGAGGTGTCCGTCACATCCTTTACTGTAACCTCCACACAGCGATTCTCTGCTATATCCTTCTTCTCTATAGCATTGGGCGTCAACACAAAGCTCCTCCCGAGCATCAGTTTAGCACCCTCATGCAATTCCAAAGTACTATCGCACCCTACGTTCTCAGATCCATTTTTCGTGTTTCTTTCATTCTGTTTGTCCGCCATTTTGGAGTGAATTCTTAAGCTGGTAGAGTGGAAAACAAACCAAATGTCACCCGAATATTCACACACAAATACCTCCTTGAACAATACAGAACAATCTGCGAATATTAATTAAAAGTATAACACAACACTTGACTGCCGCAGCTTTTTAAAACGCAATAGGAAATGTTAGTTTAACTGATATTTTCCTGAGCTACCATTGGCAGTCAGATGTACCTCTATAGCGAACGAAAAGCCCTCCTCTATCTACTTTAGCCAATCAGATGCGACCTTTACCGTACTGTAATGGCAGCTCCTTGTTCCAATCCGAATTACAAATATGCTCTTCCGTTATTTACTACGCATGAGGAACTACGGAAGCCATCATAGGTCATGTTTAATAACAGTCTCAATAGTTGCACTAAATTGAAAGAGTTTTAGTGGAACCCATAAAACAGAGGTGTTAAGATCAGCGATCTGATCTTGTTTTTGTTTTTAGAGATGAGATTCAGCAGCTGGCTGCATGGTACAGTGAGAACAGTCTGTCTCTGGATGTGGAGAAAACTAAAGAAATTATTGTCGACTATAGGAAAACTCATACTGCCTGCCTGCCTGCCTACCTAACACTCAGCATCAAAAGCTCCACAGTACTAGGGTGACCAGATAATCCATGTCAGGGAGGACACTTTGAACTACTTCGGGTTTTACAAACTACTTTCAAATAGAAAGGCTCCTCTACTTGGCTAAATAGTTCAGCTATTCTTGTGCTTTGACTGGTTTGTTTCCTTGAGTGAGACTCATCCAGCTGTTTCACATTAGCATTAGTGACACATGCATGATTATAGGAGACTGGCCAATCAGCACACAGCAAGAACTAAAGTGAAATCCAGGTCCTTTTAATTGAAATGGTTTACAATTTACAATTCCTGTCCTAGCTCAGAGTGTCCTCCCTGACATGGATTATCTGGTCACCCTACAGGCCTACACAGTACAGACAGTTAAGAGCACTAGGTTTCTCTGAGTGCATATCTCAGATGACCTCACCTGGACCACCAACACCTCCTCCCTCACCAATAAGGCACAGCAGCATCTTCACTTCTTAAGACGCATGAAGCAAGCAAACCTCCCTCCTCCCAGTTTTCTGCTGGGGCAGCATAGAGAGCATTCTGACCAGATGCATCCCTGTTTGGTACAGCAGTGCCAGTGTTGCAGACCAAAAGAGCCTGCAGAGGATTGTCAAAAAAGCCGGCAACATCATAGGGGCATCTCTCCCCTCATTCCAGGACATCCTCCATAAGCACTGCATCAGAAAGACCTCTTGCATTGTGTGCGACTCCTCACACCTCTCACATGGACTCTTCACGCTGCTCCTATCTGGCAGATGCTATTGCAGCATTAAAGTCTAATCGGCCAGACCATATGTGAGCTTTTTCCCACAAACCATCAGTCCCCTCCTACTTTAATGATATTAACACCAATACATACAGTAAACTGGTTAAATTTGCAGATGCCACCATGGTGGGTTGTGTAGCAGATACTGTTGTAGCACAGAGGCTACAACAGGATCTTGATTTAATTAGTGACTGGGCTGAAACCTGGCAGATAAAATTTAATGTAGATAAATGTAAGGTAATCCATGCAGGGAGCAGAAATATAAAGTATAGATATTTTATGGCAGGGGTGTCAAACTCCAATCTGGGGGGCTGGAGCCCTGTGTAGCTTAGTTCGTTCCACCACAAATGATTCAGCTCAAGAGCTGTGTTGTAATTAGCACAAGGAGTTGAATCAGGTGTGTAAAACGAGGGTAAACCAAAAACTGTGCAGGGCACTGGTCCTCCAGGACTGGAGTTTGACACCCCTGTTTTATGGGTTCCACTGAAATAAAGGTAGCTGATTATGAGAAAGTCCTTTGTGTGTATGTTGATGCTTCCATGTCCCACTCTCGCCAGTGTGGGGAAGCAATAAAAAAGGCCAATAGGATGTTGGGTTACATATCTAGGTGTGTGGCATTTAAGTCAAGGGAGGTGATGCTATGATTATACAATTCCTTGGTAAGACCCCACCTAGAATATTGTGTGCAAGTTTGGTCACCATACCGTAAAAGGACATTGCTGCCTTGGAAAGGGTGCAACATAGGGCTACAAGAATGATTCCTGGTCTTAGAGGAATGTCTTATGAGGAGAGGTTAGCTGAGCTGAATCTGTTTAGCCTCGAGCAAAGGAGACTAAGGGGGGACATGATCCAGGTATATAAGATTCTAATGGGTCTGGATGCTGTTGAGCCAAATGGCTACTTCAATATTAGTTTAAATACTAGAACTTGTGGCCATAAGTGGAAATTAGCGGGAGAACATTTTAATTTTAACAACTCTGAGCTATTAAAGTTCTCCCCAAACAAGCTTGATGGGCCAAATGGCCTCCTCTTGTTTGTAAATTTCTTATGTTCTTATGTTCCTCACCTAACTAACTGGCCCTTACTCTGGCCCCCCACACACACCTGAACTGTGAACTGAACTCTGCTTTGCACTTTACAGATCAGTCTTATATGCTGCTACATGCACAAAACACAACAGTGTTACATCTACTTACACACTATCTCACTTACTGTATATTAATATTGAACTGCTGCTAATCATCTGCACATTTAATGCACACATAATTATATTCCACTATGCTGATACGACATTTCCACACTTTCTGATTGTTAAAAATGTCTTTTGTACTAAATTGCAGATTTTTACTTCTTGTTTAGAGTTTATATTTATGGTATATTTATATATGTGTATTTTATGTACCTTTTTTGTAAACTGTAAAAACTGGAGCCACATTGTCTCGTCTCATTGTATACATGTATATAGCTGATATGACAAAGTTTACTTTGACTTTTTAAAAGCATTTTTGTTATTATATCTTTGGCACTTGTGCTTTAAGTGTAGAGTCTTTTGGTAACAGGTTCCACTGCACAAGGGTGTTTGATGTGTCAAGAGGCAGGGGTGATAAATCTGAAGAAAAATTTCAAATTCAGATCTCACTCCATTTTTAACATTAAATAATTAGCTTTATTTGACAAACTGGGTGCACATATCAAGTTTCTAACATAAGCACTGAAAGATCTAGCAGTAGCACAAAGTTGCAGCATATAGAATGGACATCTCAATATACTGTTTCCACAGGTCTCCTCTCAGTGTCCAAAGACATCCATATCAGGTGAATTTGTATCTTTATATTGCCCATTGCAGAGCTGTGGTACTTGAGTCTGGACACTATGATGAGGGAGGCATTCCAGGCAGTGGGTGTAGAGCGCAATCCTGACTTAAAGGCAAAGTCACAATTCATTCTTCTGTAACCTTTCCTCATCTGTTTTATAACTGTCCTCTCTCTATGAATTTTTGGTTGGATATTGCCACCTTTTTATTGGTATGTTATAATCTTTTACAGATCCTGGACAGTATGATCTTTGTTTTGCACATATAATTCCAGTATATCTAATGTTGTGATTCCTTTGGGGGAAATTCCATATACACAAGGCCAGAGTCAAAGGTTTAAATTAAAATTTTTATTTATTTTCACATGATTTACATTCCCTCTTCAATTCGATAAATGCAATCTCAAGAGTGATAAACAGTAAAGCTTATAGATCATTTTCTTTGCTGATGTTTTGTATAATATTATTATTTTACTTTAAATTTTTAAAATTATTTTATTTCTTTATTTACTTTGTATGCTGTCCGTATATCCCCAGACTAATTATGATTGTTGTTGGTTATTACTCAGACTCTTTGATATGTATACATGCCTTCTGTTTATACTACTGTCCACACACCTTTGTTATCATTTACAAACCTAAATAAAGTTTAATTGGGAAAATACCTTTTCACGTGCACACAGGATGAGTGATGTAAATTTCATCATCAGGATTTTGTAACTTTTACTGTCCAGATAATCTAGACAGTATATGTGGTATGGTATTTTCAAAAGACACAGTATTCCTGCATTTTTTAATCTTGGTGATAAAACTCCCAGAGGGGGAGGGGGGATTTTAAAATGCCATGCCATTTTACATGTTCCAGGCTATTGCCTTACAGAGTGGACAAGTAAATCAATTTACTTTTTTTGTCAAAACAGCATCATTAAGCAAAAACTAAAAGCCTAATGCACTTGACAGTTTGGCAGTGGGGGAGCCATAAGCCCTCAAGGAGTTTGTGTGAACACGCCTCAAAGTCTGTGAATCCGTGTCTGTGTGGACTTTGAAACTGGGCCAGTAACAGATGCCTGCACGATAAAAAAATTAAAAAGATTACATTGTGACAGATCATTAATGATCATAAATATATGACATGAAGATATTTTAAGAAATATATGTCATAATGGTTAGTTATTTTATTTATCAGAATTAGCTAATCACAATAATGACTAACGAAATTGGCTAATTATTACAGAACCCCCATATCTGTGATCCAAGAAAAGTTTAAAAAAAACTCCAGAAATGGCTCAGACTGAGCTTTTATTCAGACCGTAGTAGTTCATATCCCCGGAAACACACATAAATTGTACCTTTTAGCTCTACTGTAAGCCTTATTGCATAAAAGTGGCAATTAAATATGAGTCACAAGTACATTGTCTACATGAACAAAAAGAAAACTGTTGGTGGTCCCTCCAGACCTCCCCATACACCAATAGTTCATCCATTACTGTAATGTCACAGTAAATTATGGTCTTGGTACAAAAGAGAAGAGAGAAAACAGAATATAAGCATTTTAAATATAAACAGCATAAATGACATTTTCAAACATGTATTATACGTTTTAATGTACAAGTAACAAGATTTTTTTCAAACTGTTATACAATTGGAATGATAACTGAACAAGTATATTTTCAAACAACAACAACAAATTTATTTTTGTATAGCGCATTATCACAACATTATATCGTCTCAAAGCGCTTTACAGCATCCCCACCCAAAGCCCCCAGTGAGTAAGCTATAGGCGACAGTGGCAAGGAAAAACTCCCGAGAAGGAAGAAACCTTGGGAGGGACCAGACTCAAAGGGGGAGCCCATCCTCCAGGGGCTGGCAGGGAGAGTCAAATACAGTAAAATTTGAGACACAAACAGGGAGCAGGGTGGAGATGATAAGCCGGTGCCACCGCTCCCTCCAATCGCCAGGCAACCAGAAGGCAGGCAGCGGGTCATACATGTAAGGTGACACAGGCAGAACGGTGAGCTGGATGCACGGACGTCATTGTTAGTGGCGATGTCACATGTTGCAGGGTGTGCTGGACATCTTGATAGATTGAGGTCTCCAGGCAGCACCCCCCAGGAGGGGGCAGTGCTAAAAGTTAGATGAGTGCAATATGAAGTGCAATGTGCAAGCTCCGGCAGATATGCATATGGCAGCATAAGTAGGAGGGAGAGGCAGGTGGGAATGCAGGCATGGGGAGTCCCTGAAATGTCAGCACTCCAATCCCACAAGCGATTGTGAAGCTAGAGTTACAGCACTGTCAATTCAGTTTATCCAAAGCCAATGGCACCGATCCCCACCCAGCTCTACACCTCACACTATAGGTCTAACTGGGAGTGGGGAGTTAGCTAGAGCTAGAACTAGAGTCCCTATAAGCTAAACTAAACAAGCGTGTTTTTAGTCTAGACTTGAATATTGACAGTGAGCCTGAAACCCGCACATCTGGTGAAAGACCATTCCACAGATAAGGAGCTCTATACGAGAAAGCTCTGCAGCCTGCCGTAGCTCTTTCTACCCTAGGTATTAACAGATATCCCGCACCTTGAGATCGAAGCAAGCGTGGGGGATTGTATGTGGTCAGCAGATCACTAAGGTATTCTGGTGCAAACCTACATATAACAACAAAGACTAGGAGAATACAGGTAAAATGCATTTATGAAATTTAACAATTTCCAGGTGATCCATCCAGTACATCTAGAAATTGTACAGGTTGGTGCGTGAGAGAGGAGTACGGATTAGAGCAAGTGACAGGGCTGTCCATGGAATCTTTTCCGGCAGCCCCGTTTCTAGGTATATCCTCCTGAGATCCCACCCATTCATTTATGTCCATTGTAGTGGACATTTTATTTTTGCATCTATCTTTTCACTGATGTTAGGAAACATATTTATTCCTGTTGTGCACTAAAGAGGACATGCTGTGAAATTAAAAATAAAAATAAATTTGAAAAAATCTAAATTGTAAGATGTCTTATTTCCTCCAAAGACAAATAACCTAAAATTGAAGGACACTTTTTTCCTTGGGTCTCAGGAGGATATTTAGTTTTGGGCATTGCAGGCAATCAATACTACAGAGACACTCTTGGAGCAGCAGGCACAAACTTCTTCATCCTATGTTACTGGTAACTGACATTTCGATTGCATTTCCAGTCACTGGTTTTTATATTGCATCTTTACTTGCTGCATTTGGATTAGAACTGTGTAATAAAAGTA